TTGATGTACAATGCCACGACGGATAAGCACTGCGGTTCCCCCGTTTGGAGGGGTTCTTGTCCGTGGTTGGCGGTCTGTGCGGTAAGTATGAAAATTTGGGATTTTGAGCTGAGTTTTGGGGTCGAGGCGGGTTTCTCCAAGCAGGATTATATTTACATTGTGAATTTTTACAAATGCCGTCAGTTCTGATATTCGGTTTCCGATACCGTTGCAGTTCCATGATAAGACTTTTAGGTCATTCATCATGGGATGTAGGGATGGCATTTATGATTCTCAGGACTGTTGTGATGACCGCATTTTTTGATGCGACGTCTTCACTTTCTTGAGCTGTTGTAAGGAGGTCTTTGATTATTTGCAAGAGCTTGGATGCGTTTATTGTAGGTTCTGGCTTTTCTGCTTGGTGTTTTGTTACGCTCGCGTAAGATTTAATTGTTGATGCTATGGTCGTTTCGTGTGTTGCGGGTAGTGGTATAGGCGTTGGCATCGTTGTCAGTATGGATTTGTTTCTTGCTTCTCTGGAGTGGTCTATTTTTCCTTTGTAAATATCTGTGTAGTATGGGCAGCCCCTATAGTTTGCGGTGTGTTTTCCATTACAGTTGCAGCAGGTTGGGGTATCTTCTTTCGGTTTCTTACATTCCTTGTTTGAATGGTTTGCTCCACACTTAACGCATCTTGGAGGGTGTCCGCACTGAAGTGATGAGTGGCCAAATCTCTGGCATGAAAAGCATTGGGCGGGACCCGTTGATTTATATGGTTCTATTTTTACTCGGACGTAGAAAAGTTCAGTGGTTTCAAATATTTCTTTCACATTTTCTGTGCGTTTTAGGGAGACCATGTGAATTGGAAGTCTTTTATCATTTTTTACGAAAGCACGGACAAAATTTGGTTTGAAACCTTCCTCTAGGAGTTCTTCCATGAGTTCATCATCAGTAATATCAAGTGGAACACCTTTAATTACAATCTTAAGGGATTGTTCTTTGGGTAATGCAAAGGTGTGGAAGCTGATTTTGTTGATGGTCATGAATTGTTGGACGAGTCTGAATGAGGACTCTTCAGGGCAGTTTATTTGGATTTGTAACGGAATCGATGTGGTTTTTGCGGTCACTTGGTCGAGACCTTGAGTTTTTGTGTACATAGCTTTTGCTATTTTCCGCCATGGATGGTCGGAGGTTGTTTGGATCAGAATTGGTGGCATGCGGTTGGAGCGTTTATTGTCGGATTGTGGGTAATTTTTAAGTGATTTTTTGTTTGTCTCGTCAGTGTCCGAAGGAGGAGTAGACATGGTATCATTAGAATCAGAATACTCAGATCCGTCCATAGAAACGGAACGAGAACGGTTGTTGTTGTTAGTGGTAATATTCGTGTCCGAAATTGGTGAACAATTGGTGGCCATGGCCAGCTTCTTCAGAGTTGAATTTTCAGGAGGTGAGACAGTGCTGGATTGGCTTGCTTTGCGTTTTTTCGATGTGGCAGGTAAGTCTTTAAGGCATGAGTTTAATGGCAATGATGGAGGTTGTATGGTGAAATGCGACCGGTATATCTGTGGTTCCCCCACTACTGCTACCATGCAGTATAATGGTTACTGTGTTTGATGTATTATTGATGTTGTTCCTTTCTGGAACTATATTTTATAGATTTTATTATATGAACTTATGTGGTGCGTTGGTATTCTGTGGATTATTGATGTCGTAGGTTCCAATTTTGCAGGGATTTGTACTTAAAGTAGGTAAAATCTTGACAGTCGTAAAACTGCATTGTTGCCGCGCACTCTATATTCAACACTGAGCATCCGTATTGATATGTTTTATTAGCATAGGAACTAAAGGATGTTCTTTTATAGTAAAGGTAACAATGTTATATGTGTAAGTATAATGTTTCATTATACTTACAACCAATATTACTTCGCTTTTTGTCATATTCTAATCACGTAAAGTTTCCACGTGGTAGGAATCATTACTTGCGTACAAACGCATTAGGCTACCACTAGATAGCGTGAGCTATTTCGTAAAGTGCTCGTTTTGTCCCGTTACATATTGTATACAATTTGTTGATATGTCAAATGTTACATATTATAATACATTTGACAAGAATTTAAACTGATAATAACTGTATAATAATATACAATTTAACGTGGTTGGTATTAGACTTAATTGTATGGTGTCCTGGTGAAGCACGGTGATTGGACGCAGTCACTAATATAGTAATGTGTGCAGCGGTCGAGTTGGCTCCCAGATGGGTGACCACCCAGGTTCTTTGTGACGATCTATCTGCCTGACACAAAAAACGCGAACCAACCGTAGCTCCCACACTAATGGAATAGGGTTGCCGAGTGTCAAAAAAACGAAGTTCATTATATGATTTATTTTTGAACTTCTCGCATGACATAGTGAATTGCAAAAGTTAAAAATAATGGTGTGGAATATTGTCCACAGTAAAAACTAGCTAATAACTATGCAGTTTGAAGTCTTAAAAAAATGATACTTTAACCTCCTAGTTATTTACCCAAGGACTTCAATTGGCTGCGATGAAAATATTGTTTGCACCTTTTTATCTGCTATTCAGCAATGTCAAAAAAAATAAAACACTAAAATATGTTTCTTTAAATTTAAATAGTATTCGTTATAAATGTAGTAAAATGTATAATAGTATAATAATTTGAGATTAACTGATATTTTTTTCTCAAATTAAATCTAAATTGGCAATATCAATGTACACATTTTTAAATTATTAAAAAAATAATCGTCTAGTTTAAATCGTGATGAAATGTATTTGTTGTAATTTGTAAGATGATTTAAATCGGTGGTGGGTTATTGTTGGTGGTTGTTGGTTGACATCCCACTGCAGTGTTCGGGTGATGTCCGATGTCAATTCTATTACTATTATCTGCAGTTATTACATAAATATTGATATACTTCAGAGTTTATATTTTAGGATCAGATTATCAAAACAAAATACAAACGAGTCAACGCGACTAGTAACTGTCCTTGTAATTCTCTTGTGTTCTTGTAACCTAACCAATATTTGTATTATAATATATTTTAATTTATTACTGGATAAAATTATAAGATATTTTATTTTAAAATTCTTTATCTAGATATTATTTTAGTTATCTATTCCCAACACTAGAATCATTTCGCTTAAGCATTTGAAATTAATTTTTTTACGATGGATACTCAACAGTTAGTTAATAATTTCTCCTCAAACGATTTTTGATATTTTGTTGTAATTCAAAAATCAACTATAAATAGATACTTCAATGTTTCACCAAATGATTATGATAAAATATTATAATTTTCTAACGCATAAGGAACCATATAGCCAACGATCTTATTAGTTTTTTAATGTAAATCGTATCGAATATTTTATTTATATTGTGTTATTTCCAAGCAGAAGCATATAGCATATTCATGATTATTTTTTAAGTTGAAAGATCCTAATCAATATTTGAAATTCCACGTAGTCATAACCTAGCTAGTTGTTCCAATCGTCCAATATCGCATGGTAAATTATAACGGTTTTTTAAATTTTTTATTGATTAATTATTTAGCTAATTAATAAAAATATCGAAAATCGGGCTTCTTACTATTGTAAAAAAAGTTCTACTCTACAATTTTTATAATAGGTATTTTTACTGTAAACTACTTCAATAAACCGTATTACTTGAATTACGAAACCATGGTTTTATGCCATATTTTGTCAACTAGTGCGCCCTCTTAAGTTGGAAAACATAAAAAATACACTTATAAAATATATATTACTAAATTATCTCAAAATGAAAAACCTAATATTTAATTCCAAATGTTTTCATTGTTGGTGCTGAATAAGGGTGTACACAAATTAGACAAAAATGACTACCTAAGTCCTAATTAAAATTTATAAAGATGTCAAAGCTATTTGAACTTCACAAGTATTAATTTAATTTTTTATTTTATTAATTTTGACTGTTAAATATATACAAATAAAAAGGAATAAAATACTTTTAAAATGTATGGATTTATTCTTATTATTTGAAAATTTGGTCATGTTTTTTTTACATAATGCATATTTTGAGTTCATAATTTAAAAATGTGAAGGCATATAAATGCATATTTTCGAACTTTTAAGTGCATATTTTAATGCATATTTTGACAATTTTTAGTGCATGAATGCATGCTTACTTATGCATTTTTTAGTGCATGAAGTTACGAGCCCTGCTTATAAGTAATAAGTATATTATTATTTATATATTTTGGTATATTACCTACTTGTTTATAATAAAGTGTAGTTTTCTTTTAGGTGCATAACTTAATAAATAAATGTCGACCGCTTTTAAACAAACAATCAAATTCTTCATAATCATATGGAAGATAATTGGTTTGCTAAACTTTTGTTGTACAATGGAAACGGAATCTGGATTAATGCATCGGGACATGAGCTCAACGCATAACTTATTCTTAGAAATGATACGGATATTTGTATATTTAATTTGTAGTTATCATATGGTGTACAATATGGGAGACAATTATCTAATAATACACTTCAATATACTTAAATATTGGTGTATCATCATACCTGCAAGAATGTCTGAGACACGGATTATAAAGTATGAACGATTATTTTACTTCTACCTATTAGTTAAATAAATACACCACTATAGTCACTAGGTATTTATAAATGTATTATGTCAGTTGAGCATTAATATTAATATAAAAAGTATTCAAGTATTTGAAGCCTTGAAATCTAAAAAAAAAAAAAAAAAACAAATAATAATAATATTTGGTTTCAGATTAATCAACGGTATCATCGAGTTCGACCGGAAATTGTTTTTATTTCATTCATTACTGGTTGTTGAATTGCCTACATTGAGTAAAACTTTTTGGATTGCTTTTGTAGCCATATTTTTTATTTATTTTATAGGATGTCAGTTATATTTAATACTTAATGGTATTATTTTAAATTTAGAAATTGTTCATTTTACAAGTTTATTGTTTCATTCGCCAGACATAATTATTTTTATAGTAATGTCCACATCATATTTTTATCTCATTAATTTGGGATGTAGGTTTTGTATTTTGAATAGACTGTGGAAACTCTTACCACCTGGAATAGTAGCTTTGCCAGATGGATCGAGTAGCTCTGAAATAACAGTGTTAGTGGAATGTATACGATTATTGCATGCTGAACTTTCTGGACTGCTTCGGTTGTTTAGTTTGGGTTATGGTCCAGTAATATTAATATACTTTACATTTGCATTCATCCATGCTTTAGTCGACATATTTCTTATAATTATTCTTGATAATTCGAGTGTAAAATTGGGGATTTTGTCATTCGTGTTTTATATACAATACATTATGTCTACTCTATCAATTCTCTGGATTGCATCGTGGATTATTAAAAAGGTATCGTACCCAATATATAATAAATAATAATTAATAATTATGAAAGTGCCTATGATGAAATAATAATTACATTTATAAAAATAAAATACATAAATACATAAGATTCAAATAAATTTATTTTGTACCTACATTTAAACTTTTAAAAAACTGATACGTAGGTATAACCGCTCTGCTCTTAAGTGTTAACACTATAGTAGATCTTACATAATCTGTGACACATCGTCATTGAGTAAGTCGCTGTAAAGGATGCATAAAAAATAAATTTATTGATAAATCATTATATATGATAAAACCTGATTTTGCAGAGTGGAAACGAATTTTACGATTTTGTCAACATTTCAAATCAAACCCTCATAAAAAACTAATGTGGCTTTACGCTACACCTTTTCTTAAATTTTTGTAATGAACATTTTTAATCTCAATTAGACTAATTTTTGATAAACTTTGTATTAAATTTTCAAGTTTTTATACTCACAAAACAAAAATGTAACCATATATTATAAGTCTAATAAAAACTAAAAAAAGTTGGAATCGAAAATTTGGATTGTTTAAAAACAGCTCAAACAGAGACAAAATATCTTGAAAATGTCATCACGTTTTTGAAATGCATAGGTAATATTAAACGTTTGTTTAAAATATCAAGTCTCTATGGTTATTTGTTTTTGAATCATAAAAAAATTAATATTTTGAGGATTTTTTCTACTATACAAGTGTGTTCAGACAATTAAAAATTAAAAAAAAAACACTCATAATTGTAAAACAAACATTCATTTACATTCATTGCTGAAAATCTATATAACCTTGATAAAAAAATTTATTTGTTACAATGTTTTTGTTCTTTCAAAAATTGTGAACTCTTTTTGTTAAATATAATTATATTTAGTTCATTATTTTGTTCGTAACAATAGTATAATTCAAATGTTTACAGAAAAAAAAGATTATTTCATACTTGAGACTGACGAGAATTTCTGAATTGCCTACTGAAACAAAATTACAGGTAATTGATCTATACCTACAATTTGTTTTAAAAAATTTAAAATATGTTTATTAATATACCTAGCATAAAGTTCCGAAAACGAGGATATATATTTTTCAGTTCAATAATCGATAAATATTAGACTTTTAACTATATTATACATCATTGTTGATTCCAACCTTTAGGTATACGATATGATCCTCACTATATACAATTATCCCACGAGAAAATGAATAGTATAGTATATATTATTTATTTTATTACAACACTGAACACAATAGATATACCCAAATCAGTACAAGATTGTAAATAAATACAAAATATATTGCACTTGTCTTTCATTTTGGGATCTATTACATGTAGTGGAGTATTTAGGAATTTTGCTAGAGGGGATGAAATATATAATAATTAATAATGCACCGATAAATAAGTACATAAAATACATTTTTAAAATCCCCCAACTTGTTAACTATTGAGGTTAGTGTGGATAAAGCGAAATAAGAATTAACACAAATTGTATTGTATAGTATAGTACATTGGTACCTTATAATTATAAATTCATACTAGCGCCAATCCCGCGTTTGATACAATAAATAAAAAAAATTGGTATAACTTATAATATAAAACTATTTTTTTGGATACTCAGTTCATCGATAACCTCATCTGGAAACTGTCATCATTATTGTATTGACCGGTGACATGCCAATAAAGCCAACACATTAAGTCGGTTCTAATAAACAAAGTATATAATAATTTATTACTACCTAATTTATAATAAATTATTATTCAATATTAGATAGGAAAATTTGTAAAATATTTACTTCTATCATACTATTTATTAGGGAAGACTTAATCCTCTTCAAACTTTTAAAACATCGTTCAGGTGTAGCAGTTGATACAGGCAAAGTACAAAATATTTTCAAGAGTTCATGAATATTTTGATAAAACTCTATATCCCCAACAGCTAACCCAGAGGTGAATACAATTTTTTCAGTCACTAACCACACTTTAGTCACTAAAAATAAACCTACGCCCTATTGTAAATCTGCGGTCTTCATGGTAATTTTGTTTTATTTACCGGCTATTCATCGGGTTTATTACTCATGCATCAAAAATTATTCGTAGAAATGTAAAAAATACAGTACACCATACTACCATAGAGAACAGAGGTATATGTTTTTGTTGTCCGATAGTCGCGATTAGTATATCAGAGACCAGAGTGGTACAATTACCACTGCTAGAACATTTAGAAAACATACATACTTAAAAGTAATATTATATTGAGAAATACAAAAAATTAGAAAACTTAGCTTTACAAAAAAAAAAAAGGTCAAGGGGGGATCTATCCCCCATATCGCCACACAAATACGCAACTGAGTACATGGCCAAATAAATTGTAATCCTGCTTTAAAAAATCACTAGGTACTTTGAAATTTAATGATAAAATGTCCCTATAGTTGAGTAAACACAGTCCAATATTAGGACAGCAATATTATCATGTCATTTATTATTTAATTTATGTTTATTATAATTAATAACATATGTATACTTATGCGTACACGTACTTAATTGTCTTACCTAATTAAGTTATAAATTAGGTTAAAATATTCATGAATCAAATATCAGCTTATGAACCAAATGAATTGACAGCTTTTGGATTTTTCAACTTGAACTTGAATCTATTCATATCAGTAAGTTATTGTATCATGTTACTGTATTAGTTTTATACTTTTATATATTTAATATAATAAAAAAATCAAACAGAAACTGGTTCTACTGTATAATATGTATAAATAACTTTAAATGTATCTAAATATATTGGAAATTACATTGTGTAGGTAGGTAGTAGGTACTAATAGGTACCTACAACCTACATATAACCTACACATAAAATGTTTTTTGAAATAATAGTGGAATGTCTCAAGTTTCTACGATTAATATTTTTCGGAATATAAATAACATAAAAACAGTAAAAATCGTCTGAAGAAAAATCATCATTTCACGTGTGATTTAGTGAATATCGAATATTTTGTATAATATTTGAACTTCAATCGCTCATAAAATTTGCATGTGGCTTTATGTTAATTTTTTTTAATTTACACTAAAATAACTTAGGTATTTGGAAATTTGGAATCATTTTTTACCCTTTCAAACCTTAAGTATTAAAACTAAAAATGTTATGAGTTTATAACTACTAAATTATCTATTTAAAAATGTATTTAATCTATTCTCTGCTTTAACTTTAAATTTTAATTATTTTGAAGTGTTCCTACCTATGTTTACAGATTTTGGTATTGATGATCACTGGAATAGCTACATTGGTTCAAATGAAAGAGTATTGGTTCATGATTCGACTTAATAATTTAATGACACCTCAATTCAACAAATTAGAATGAATATCTTAGAAAAAAAACTATTGTAATATTAAAATATTATTATTTATTACATTGTTTCTGTACTTTTTTTTTATTAGTTTCTCTATTCAACATTTTAATTTTTCGTAAGCTAATTGCGTCTCTTTTATAATATTCAAAATTATGTACACTGAAATCTAACTATTAAAATCAAATAATGATCGATAAGACCACAATTAAAATGTACATAAGGTACTAAGTTTTTCATATTTTTAATTAAGCCAACTAACTGCAGCTGATAAATATATCTTTACAATATTGTAAGAAGTGTCTATAGTATAAGATCTACGAGACAACCGTAATTGACAGTTGACTACTTGACTATCAAATTAGTATTTCGGTGGAAAGATGGAAGAAGCTGATATGTACATTTTGTTAATTTTTTAATTATCATTTAAATAGTTTAGAAATCGTATATTTCAAGTGGTGGTAAAATATGATTAGTCTTTATTGTGTGTGTGGCACCATTTATGTGCAAAGACCAAAACTGATATGTCCATGGGCGCCGACTATTGGGGTGCTGGGGTGCTTGAGCACCCCATGGTTAATTACATGGGGTGCTGAGCACCCCATGAAATAAATAAAATATATAAATATTTATAATTTACTTCGTACATTTCTTGATGAGCTGACCAAGGAAAAAAATGAAATAGGCGCTAAGGCTAGTGGATTTTCGAAACTACTTTATAAATTTGATTTTTATTTTGTGTTGAAAATTATGATATTTATTTTTGAGAGAATAGAAGTTTTAAATTCGGAACTGCAAAAAAAATCTTTGCATTTTCAAGATGCAAGATTAAAAATTCAAGCTATCATAATTTCTATAGAAGAAATACGAAAATCCGGGTTTGACCAAATATGGGAAGTTATAATTAATAAATCTGAAGAGCTAGGCTTAGGTGAAGTCAAGCTATCTAAACAAAAAAAAACTCCAAAACGTTTGATCGAAGGGGGACAGGAACATTACTTTATGTCAGCTAAAGAACAGTATAAAGCACTATTTTTTGAATGTGTTGATACCACGTTATCTGCTCTGCATAACAGGTGTCAAAGCAACGTACTTGAACATCTCGCTACAGTAGAAAACTTTATAGTAGATCCTCAAAAAATAAACACATCTATTATGATTGAATACTATGGCTCTGATTTCGATGGGACAAAATTAGAATTGCATCGCAATATTATGTTAGATGTCGCTAAAGCAAAAAAATTTAATATATCATCAGTGTCAATCGCAATTGATTTTTTAAAACAAGAAGTGTACTTACAAGATTTGGTACCAGAAATTCTAAAATTAATTAAAATTATGTTAACCGTACCAGTTTCGTCGTGTTCTGCTGAGCCATCTTTTTCTGCTCTTCGGCGTTTAAAAACATTTTTAAGGTCAACAATATGGTCAATGACGCAAACACGGCCTTAATGATGTAGCATTATTAAATATACATAAATAAGAAGAAATAAATATTGAAAATATTGCTAACAAATTTATAAATACTACCAAAGTGAGACAAAATACCTTTGAAATTTGTTAAGCTATTTTAATTCATTATTAGAAACTTAGAAATTTTTGCTTACCTATTTGTATATAGGTAAGTTATAATGTATTTGTCTTACGCTGTAAAAATGTAGAAAAATAAAGTCAATAAAAGAGGAAATAATTTGTTTAATTTAACACTCTTTGTTGATTTTTTTTTGATTAGGTACAAGTTAAATAATTTAGGATTTTAGGCACCACATGAAAATTGGAAAACCTGGCGCCCATGGATATGTCATTATTTTAAAATATATGTAGCGGCAAAATGCACATATTATCAGCTTTTGCCATCACTCCACAGATTAGTGTTTCGAATTTCGATTTTTTTTATAATTCAAGAAGGTACATATTATATTATTATTATTATAGGTATGAGGTATCAATGAGGATCACGATTATAGATTAATAGATAGATAGATATTCTATCTATTATCGTGTGGATACAATATAGATAGGTACCTAATAAAATATGGATAGGACATAACAATATAACATTATAACGTCATATCAGCGACGATCAATGATTTAAATTGAGGACAAATTAGTGAGGCCGATCAATATTAAATCATAGTAACTACGCTTGGTAAAATTGTTCAGGATCTTCTTCCCCAAGGTCTAATCTATCTGTTTACCAAATTTCATTGTAATCCGATTAACGGTTTAGGAAAGCATAAAGAACATAGAAACATTTTTTGTGTTTTATATATCGTAATTTCCGTCTGGGTCCCGGGATAGAATAGGCCCAGAGCAATCCCTGCTTGTCGTAAGAGGCGACCAAAAGGGTCTGGGGAAGGGCAGCAGCTTCCCCAGTATTGGATGTAGGTGGAGATCAAGGAGATCGGTACAGCTACATACCAAACATTTGTAAGTGAAGATGGCAGCCATCTAAAGGGTTACAAAACTGCGAGGTGGAAGGAAACGGGAAACCACCACCTTATTATCCCTAGTATCTGCAGTTATGGATTGTGGACTCATTGTAAAAGATTCCGGACGTAAACTAGTCTCCCGTTCGGATGTCCGGGTGGAGACTACCTTGAGTAAAACAAAACAAAACTATAAAAGAGTAGGCACATGGAATGTAAGAACCTTGAGAAGAAGCGGAAAGTTTGAAAATTTAAAACTAGAAATGAGAAGACTAAATATTGACATTATAGGGATAAGTGAAGTAAGATGGCCAGATCCCGGTGACTTTTGGAGTGATGAGTACAGATTCATTCATACAGGCTCGGAAAATGGACATACTGGGGTAGGCATCATCATGAATAAACAGTGCGGAGAAAGTGTGATCAGCTATTATCAATGTACAGATAGGATCATCATGGTTAAAATTAACACTAAACCTGCTATTACAACGATTATCCAAGTATACATGCCAACATCATCACACAATGACGAAGAAGTTGAAGAAACTTATGATAAAATAGATGAAGTAATGGCGATGACTAAAGCAGGGGAGAATGTTATAATCCTGGGCGACTGGAATGCAGCAGTAGGCGAAGGGAAAGAGAGTAACATAACGGGTAGTTATGGCTTGGGAACCAGAAATGAGAGAGGAGAACGACTAATACAGTTCTGTACACAACACAAATTGACAATTGCAAACACTTTTTTCCAACACCATAAAAGAAGATTATATACCTGGAAGAGGCCGGGAGATACTGCGAGATATCAAATCGATTACATTATTACTAAACAACGCTTTAAAAATCAAATTAAACAATGTAAAACCTATCCTGGTGCTGATATTGACAGCGATCACAATCTAATTATTATGGAAACAAATCTAAAGTACAAAAAAATTAAGAAAGGTGTTTTCACAAATAAATGGAATTTAGAAGTGCTTAAGAAAGATGAGAAGAGAATAGAATTTAAAGAGAAATGTAAGAAAGCATTAAACAACATACAAATTGAGAACTGTCAGTCAGAGGAAAATAAATGGGAAAATATTAAGGAAATTCTAAAGATCCAGGCAGAGGAAGTATTAGGAACCCAAAAGAAAGAGCCGAGGAAGCCTTGGATGACAGACGAAATAGTTAAGCTAATAAATGAAAGAAGAAGGTATAAAAATCAAACTAACACTCAAGAACAACAACAATACAAAAGAATACGAAATGAAGTGCAAAGGAAGATAAAAAAAGCGAAAGAAAAATGGCTAGATGAGCAATGTAAGGGAATAGAAATTTTTTTAAAAAAAGGAAGAAGTGACCTGGCGTTTTCAGAAACCAAAAAGCTTTTTCGTGAAAGGAAACAAAACACAGGAACCCTAGTAAACAAAAACGGCGAATTATTACTAGAAGCTGATCAAAGGGCTAAAAGATGGAAAGAATATCTGGAAGAATTATATGAGGATAATTCAACTATGATATTTGAGGAAGAAGATAATGTAGATGAGGATGATAAAGGTGATAATATCTTGCAGGCAGAATTTGATCATGCGATGGACACTCTTAAAAACAATAAAGCGTATGGTGTAGATGAAATCCCAGCAGAGTTACTTAAATACACAGACGTAGTTGTTAAAAAAGAACTGTACAAAATATGCAATGAAATATATTTAAAGGGAAGAACCATTAGTGATTTCGAGAAGGGTATTGTGGTACTGATTCCAAAAAAGAAAGGAACACAAAAATGTGAAGAGTACAGAACATTAAACCTCATCACACATACCGCCAAAATTATCACCAGAATAATCAAAAACAGGATAGATAAAAAGATAGAAGAAAATCTGAGTAAAGATCAATTTGGATTCAGAAAAAACATAGGAACAAGGGAGGCAATTTTAACACTGAGAGTACTAATTGAAAAACAAATTAGAAGAAACAAAGATACATTTATAGCCTTTGTCGATTTAGAGAAGGCGTTTGATAATGTAAAGTGGAGTATATTATTCGATATTCTGAAATCAATTGGAATTAAGTATTACGACAGAAGATGCATTTATAATTTATACAAAAACCAAACTTTATTAATACGTATAGATGGAAAAGAAGAAATAGCAAAAATTAAAAAAGGGGTACGACAGGGCTGTAACCTATCACCCATGCTGTTTAATCTATATATTGAAGAAGTAATGAAAGAACTAAGAATAGAAGTAAAGCAAGGAGTTAGAATAGGTGGAGAAACAATTAACGCTCTGAGATTTGCTGATGACATCGCTTTCTGCGCAGAAACAGAAAATGACCTGCAAAATATTTTAACTAAGGTCAATAAAATATTAGGGGACAAATATGGAATGCGATTAAATAAAAAAAAGACAAAGGTTATGGCGTGCAGCAAGACAAACCCTGCTCAACTTAATATATACATAGATAATGCACGCATAGAACAAGTACAACACTTTAATTATTTAGGAAGTAAAATAACAGAAGATGGCCGTAGCAAAGTTGAAATTCTAAGTAGAATAGCGCAAGCGAAGAGGGCTTTCCAGAATAAAAAACATCTACTAACCATCAATAGTATGGACTTAGAGGTAAGGAAAAGGTTCTTAAAAATATATATATGGAGTATTGCCTTATATGGCTGTGAAACCTGGACAATCAGTGCAACAGAGAAAAGAAAACTAGAGGCCTTCGAAATGTGGTGTTATCGTAAAATGTTAAGAATTAAATGGATTGATAGAATAACGAATGAAGCAGTACTAATTAGAATAAAAGAAAAGAAAATACTATGGCATACCGTAAAAGTTAGAAGAGCTAAAATGATAGGACATCTACTACGCCATGAGAGTCTAACAAAAACCGTCATAGAAGGCGACGTTGAAGGCCATATAGGAAGAGGAAGACCAAGGATGGAGTATATGAAGCAATTAATGAGTGACATGGGGAAGAATAGTTATAAAAAGCTAAAGGAATTGAGTAATGATAGGGAAGCATGGAGAACTGCAGCAAACCAATCTAAGGAGATTGAAGACTGAAAAAAAAAAAATATTATATATAGATAGATTATGTCTTATTAAATTTCAAATGACGATCCGTGGAGTTCCATCATTACACCTCTTTCGAATTGACAAATTTATAGGACTTGAGCTGCAGACAGCGAGGTGCGGCGTAGGTTTCGGATTATCCACTACAGATGAGCGCCCTAACAGTACACCGCTCTAAGTTTAATACGTATGGGTACCTACCTTTTTTGCATAATTATTATACAATGCACTATACACCTTGGAACACCTTAGGTTGTAGGTATTTAAAACAATTATTAACATTTATATTTTAAATTTTAAATACATTATATACGCACCTATGTTTACACTTATATTAAACATTTGATGAGCATAGATGGCGAGTACTATCCTGTCACGTCGAACTTGAAATTTGAATGCATTAGTCGACTTTATCCAGGTCATACATTTCGTGTGTATATAGATCTAATGATCTTAATGAATTTGTAGATTAAAATGAATACCTATTTAAGATTTAAGATTTTTAGATTTAAATGAAAATCTCTGTACAGGCTTAAATTGGAACTACTTATTAGATCTTCTTGATTTTTTTTTTAAACGAAAGAGTATTTCATGGATAATGTTTATATGAATGAACATTTTAGGAAAATCTACCTGTGTATAATATTATATAGGTTGCTATCGGTTAGTCGGGCATGATTGTTGATTTGTATTTTTTTTATATACATATAATTTATAAATAATATATACAATAATATCTGCTAAGTAGTTTCAGAGTTAAGTCTGTATAGTTATAGTCTGTGTATTAACCTATATAGTTAGATATATGAATAATAGTTTGCGGGTAGATTAGACCTCTGGGAAGAATATAGGTTAATTTACAAAGGGTTAAATTTGTTTTTTTTTATTCGTCAGATTTTAGTACTGTTATGATGTTAGGTTAGGATTTTGTATAAATTGATTATATTAATCCACCTTTTTGGTTTTCTAAAATGTATTTGCCTGTGGGCGTCAACCTTCCCCTTTAATTTTTCTTTTTAGGAATTTGAGTCTAGTTGAATTTTTTGCACGGACTTGAATATTGACAACCTGCAGGTGCCCTCTGTATTGGCATTCTATAACGATAAAGTTAATCATTATAAACTGTTTTTTCTGTTTATAAATCTGAAGATTGTAGTTTAAACACAATGATATGTGTTAATACTGTATAATTTTTTCTAAATTTTTTTTTTCTTTTCTAAAAAGCATTTGCCTGCGGGCGCCAACACTCCACTTTAATTTTTTTTTTAGGAATTTGACTAGTTGAATTTTTTGCACAGACTTGACTATTGATATCCTGCAGGTGCTCTATGAATAGTTTTTCTTTAATGAGCTATTTATTTTGAATAGTTTTTTCTGTTTAATACCTATTCTGGAAATATTAGTTTGAGCTCTGTAATAAAAAAATATAAAAACCTATGAATACATGTGAATAAACCTATTAAACTTCACATACTTAACCATCGTGCCATCGTATAACCATTGAAATTAATTTCTATTTCATCTAGCATTAAATACACCTTAGTAAGATTGATATACAAAATGCATGAACTTACAAGCCCTGCATATGAGTTATGAATTTTAACCAAGAATCTAATCATCAACAAAAATATAGATGCAATAATAATTTATAAGCTATTTATCTATTGTAAAGTAATATACTCTGGTTAAATCTTGATGCCCAGCATATATTTCAGTACCTACCCCCTCTTTATCTTCTTAATAGAATATTTAGTACATATAATTATTATTTTACTGTAAATATTTTAATTTTTGTTGTATGTGATTGATCACCATAATTTAACCAACCGCCCCCCCACCCCATCAACAAAAAATCCACCATGACGCCTAGGCTTCATAAAACCCCATACACCACGCCACTGCCCTTGTAACTAAAGTAATAAGTAAGTAATATCACATTATCACATCAACAAAACATTAAAACAAAATAATATTCAAATTTATTAAGTCTATAAATACCGTGCTTATCACTAAGATAGTATAATATAATTGTTATCAAATGAATAACAACAACATAATATAATTTTAAAGTTCGGCGACTTTAGTTGAATCATTTGAGTCATTCGATTAGGTATTTGAAATTTGAACGGAAATAGTAAAGACAGACTACTATACATTCGTACAGTGTTGTATTCATACGTTTTAGTAAAAAGTTGCCATGCATAAGTGTATTCTTTTTAGTAAAACATCCAAAGTATCGCCTCGTCACATTACCTTAATTTTCATTTGTAAGTATTATTTTCTAGTTGTACTGATTATATTTCTTAATAAAATGGTGCCAGGGCAGTGTAATTTGTTCACAAATATAGATTTCCAAAAAATGAAAATTGAAGGAAATAAATTTTCAAATTAAATGATTACCCAATTTCTATCTGGAGCAGAATCTGCGGTAATCATTTCACAATCAGTAATTATAAACAAGGCTCAGTATATAGTAGATATTATTATGGCCAGAGGCTGTCACAAAACATAATCCAAACCGCATGTCTGTTTAGAGGAGTAAAATAAACAATATAAAATAAATTTTAATAATTTATAGCAACACTGGTACCACTCTGAGCACGACTAGTAAATCATCTAAGAGGTAAAATCTTTTAATTTTGAATTATTTTAATATTAATTAGGTAGGTATTCAGATATTTTTTACAACTTTATATTTTCAGAAAATTATATTTCTCCAACGATGAGTTTGAAGAAAATGAACAGACAAATAAAGGATTTGGAGACTTTACAGTCGATGATTTTAATTCACCCAGAAAAGCCTTAGAAACTTAATAATGTCTAATTCACACACGCTTATATAAGTATATTACTCAAGTTCCAATTTTAAATGTTTGCCAAAGCCAAAAGTTACTTATTGGTTTATCGTTTTTAGTTCATACAGTGGATTATACTTATTATGGTTTTCAAAACTGAAATATATGATGTACCACATACAAGAAACTATTAAGTCGAGCCAATGTGTTGACAATTTTCAGACGTTGACTTTCTTGCAGATAATTATATACATACTATATTGGAGCGAGTTATGAAACTTAAAGGTAAGAATATTGTAGATAGGTTTTTATTTTAAAGCTATTTTACTAACTAACGTGTCCACCTGTTCACGGGACACATTGTATAATATCTAATTGTGTGCGTGGTCATAAATTTGTATATCGAAAGGGCTCAGCCCGTTTAGTCAAAATAAATTAATAAATAAATAATTATATCTTACAATATTAAAATATCCATAACTTGTTTTAAAAATAAAATACAAATAAATGCTTAGTGCTTCTCTATAAGGTACCTTGAAAAACAAATTTGCTTTTAAGTTTGATTATCATATTTTGTCATATAACTCTAATATTAAAGCTAACAGTACAAAACTGGATCTACTGTACTCTCTTTTGCATGTTGCTCGTTATTCAAGAGAGAAACAAATGGTGCACTGACATATTTTTAACATAGTTTTAATTTTTTAGGCAATACAATTTTGCTGAGAAACAACCCAATTTCAATAACGCAAAGGTCCTCAACATATTTAAATTGCAAAGAAACACATAGGTAACTAGTTTTGACTTTAGTATATTTTAGAACTCGTCACTATTGATCTGATTGTTATGACAATTGTATCTGTATTTTCGGAGATTGCGATTAAGTGGAAAGTTGATACAAAATAAAGTTCTATTGAAGTGTGTGAACATCTAAAATTTAATATAGGTACAAACTAATAAGTTGTACACCTTAATTATTGGCATAGGTTAATATGAATTGTTTATTAATATTACATTTATTTTCAACTAAATTTTCACAGTAAGTTGAGAAATACTTACTAGAGAATACAAATATATTAATGATTTATTCTTCAAGGTACATGATTATAATATTAAGTGAATAGAAGAAACTAATATCTAAAATAATGTATTATATTTTAGAAAATTAGGTCGTGAATATGGATCTATATTATTTTGTACTACTGGTATTTTACTTCAACATATCCAAAGAGATTCAGCTTTAAATTATTACTCACATATTATCATTGATGAAATACATGAACGTGAAACCATTAGTGATTTTACACTAACTATTCTCAAGAGCATCATACCTGTTGTAATTATATGCATATTATTATGTTTATTACTATGCAGTATGCACAGTATTTTATTTAAATTGTACTAATTTTTTTTTTTGTATTGTAAATCCAGAGACCTGATTTTAAAGTTATATTAATGAGCGCAACATTAAAAGCTGCAGCATCTTCCAAGTATTACAATGAACCAACACAAAGATCTCGCAAAATTAAACCTGGTGATCCATTCACTGAATTTGTAATTCCTTATGTAAAGTAAGTATGCATGTAAAAAGATATATTAAGAAATATTTACTTATATATTGTTAACAAATAATCAATGTAATATTCAAATAACAAAATCTTTTGTAGTGAAATGAAGAGATTGCAAAAATATGCTGTTTTAATATTGAATTGGTTGGAAAATCCAATGTCTGAAGATACAGATTACGAATTGATTTTAAAACTCATATACTACATTTGTAACAATAAAGATGATGATGGAATACTTGTGTTTCTTTTTGGATGGGATCAAATATCAAAACTGACTAAAATTTTAAAAGACTAAGGCTTTGGAAATACATGTAAAGTATATTGTATAAATGTAGAATTTCATAAAAATTTTGATATCTGTTTATAAATATAATTTTTTTATATTGTAGCTGGGTACATACTGATTCTTTTGTATTCCATGTCACCTACTGTATTTCAAAAATCTGTTTTTGAATCGACGCCTCGGGGTAAGCATTAAATATGAAAATTCTTTAAATGCATTGTTGTCTAATGTTAGCATTATAATAGGTGTTCGTAAGATCATATTATCCACAAACATAGCAGACACTTCAGTTACCACAGACGATGTAGTTTATGTTATTAATAATGGCCGGATGAAATTAAAAGG